TTAAGATTTTTGCTATTTGGCAGAGAGCCAGAGAGAGAGAGAAAGTGAGAAATTACCCCCTGGAAGGGACGGCCATGCCATAAGTCCTTTTCTTCAATTCTCAGGATTTTGGGCACACGCACTAGTGGCTAGTGTAATTTTCCTTTTTTATAAGAATTATTTTATTTAACTTTATTGATTTAAATTTGACCAGAGAAGGAGGGGGGAGAGAGACAGACAGAAAGAGAAAGTGAGAAAGCAAACTGGCAGGTCTGGGACTTGAACCGCAGTTGGCCAGATGGGAGTCTAGGGCTCTTTACTACCACACCACCTGCTGGTCCCAATTTTCAAGTCACTGGGTCTGAGACTTGAACCATGGTTGGCCATGTGGAAGTCCAGTGTCTTCCCACCATACCATCTGCTGGCTCCTTTTCTGGGCATTTTTAAGAGTTATTCTTCCTCACTAATTATAAGCAATTTGATTACAATGTGCCTTATAATTCTCTTCATGCTGTTGTGTCTAGGTTGTTTGAGCTTTTCGATATTTAGGTTTAACGTTTTGCTAATTCTGGAAATTTTTAAGGAACTCATTCATTCATTTATTATTTGGATTGCCCTCTCCTTTTCAGGGACTACAACTATTCCAATATTCTGACTTCTGAAGTTGTCCCATCCAGTGTCGCTGACATTCTGTACATGTTAAGTATTCTTTTTCCCTCTGCTTCATCTTGGAGTTTCCACGGTTACAGTCAAGTTCACTAATCTTTTTTTAATAGTTATTGAATTTTATTTATTATTATTATTTTAAATTTGTTATAGAGCACATGCACTTACCATAGAGAGGGAGGGGAAGTAAGAAACAAAGCTGCCGAGTCTAGCACTTGACCTATGGTGGGCCATATTCAAGTCTAGTGCCTTAACCACAGCCACCTGCTGGCCCCCCGAGTTCACTCACCTTTAACTCTGCAAAGTCTGTCCTTTGTCCTACTCACTGTATATTTCATCTCAGACATCATAGTTTCATCACTAGAAGTTTGATTTGGGTCATTTTTTAAAGATTTTAACATTTCCACTTAACATGTCAATCTTCATCATAACTTCTTGTACTCATGGGACACAGTTAAAAAAATTAGTTTTCCTTACTTCCTTTCTTTTTTTTTAAACTGCCAGAGGGAATGTGCACTCAGCACAGAGAGACACAACAAAGAGAGAAAGAAAGTGAAAGAGAAAGCATCTCCCAATGGGGCAAAGTCACGCCACAATCCCTTCTCTTACATTTCTCTCCATCCTGTCAGGATTTGGGGCACACACGCACACATCCCTGGCAAGTTTTCCAACCTCTCAGGGCCAGACTCAAACTGTGATGGCCATAGGACCAGCAGTTAGTGTAATGGCTATGTCGCTGAACTCCCATGTAGCCGACCATGGTTCGAGTCCCAGACCCGGTGGCGTGTGCATGCATGCCCAAGGTCCCAAAAGGAGAATGGAGAAGAAGGGATTGCAGCATGGCCATCCCCCCTGGAGGGCGATTTCTAGCTTTCTATCTCTCTGCCTCTTTGGTGAATACATGTGCCCTGTAGCAAAACTTCTAAAAAGAAAAAAAAATGCTTATTCAAAATTTTAAAACAAGGGGCCAGCAGGTAGCGTGGTGGTTAAGGCACTGGACACTCCCACATAGCCAATCATGGTTTGAGTCCCAGACCTGGTGGCTTACTTTTTCACTTTGTCTGTCTCTCTCTTTCTCTCTCTGGTCAAATTAAAATAAATGAATAAATAATTAAAATTAAATAAATAATTATTAAAAAAACAAAAAAGGAAATCACATGTCCACTCCCCCAAATTCAGAGAGACAGGAAAATACTAACTTATCTTGTGCCCAGAAGAAAATGTACAAGAATCAGTCAACAGTTCTAATAACTACTAGAAGAGAAAGGTACAATTGGAAAGGATGCACCAAATTCATTAAGTGCTTGCCTCTGGTCATGGAGGGAGAGAAGAAATGGAATCAGAAACTAGAAAAAAACCCTGAATTTCATCTTTATAATGTTCTTTTTCACTATTTTTTTCATCTGAAAAGAAGTCAATAGACCTACATTAGGGCTCTACCATGTATATAGTTTTTAAAGACAAAATACTAACATTTGTCATTTTGGAACTGAATGTTTACATATTGGTTATATCATCCTTCATATTTATTTTCTTTATTATCTCAAAAAGATCATTTTAAACATGTACTTATCAGATTTACACAAAGGGAATAATTGTGTTTAGTCTTTCAATTTCACAGATGAGAGATTGAAATACTGAAATATATATTCCCCCCACAACAGGGGGAAAAACATGTGAGTTTCCTTACTTTCCCAGTCAAAAGTCAAATCACAGAGTATATTCACTAAGTCTAATGATACATCTTTAAAATTAAGTGTCAATGAGACTATGAATGAACACTCATTTTGATATGTAACATTAACATTAGAACATTCATTATGAATAATTCATAAGCTTATAGGAACACTATATTTATTTATGTGATTAAAAATTAAGATACTGGGGCCAGCAGTTAGCGTAATGGCTATGTTGCTGAACTCTGATGCAGTTGACCGTGGTTTGAGTCCCGGACGCGGTGGCTTAAACTCACACGGGGTGCGTGTGCGTGCATGCCTAAGATCCCGAGAGGAGAATGGAGAAGGGATTGCGGCGTGGCTATCTGCCTGATGTCAGTTATCTTCCTGCTGTGTAGATACCTGATACTGAAGGGCAGTATGAGGCTAATGGAAGCCACATCTGTTTACCAGATTTCACCCCAAAAAGATCAGAGAAATTACATGGCACCAATTTTCTCATCTTCAGAGGACTTACATCCTGGTTTCTCGCTTTCTATCTCTCTGTCTTTCTGGCAAGCACACACGACCTATAGCAAGAACCTCTTCCAAAAAAAAAAAATGTTAATATAGTAATACTACCTTCAAAAAACATTGTGAGAGTAGTGTTTATATAATTTTATACTTAAAATGTTCATAGATTAGCTAAATTATGAAAAGACACTCAGATTTTTGCTTTATAATGACTATATGTAAAATCGAAATGAAATTAGGTACTCACAACTGAAATCTTACCTGTTCGTTTATTTCTGTCCACATAGCAATACTTTAACTCATAGTCTTTTAACAAATCATGAACTTCCTGAAAGAAACAAAACCATTAATTCAATAAACATTCAAGCACAGTTACTATTCAATATGGCTCAATTAGCCTACCACCACTACCACCACCACCACTACCAAAATCTTTCATGGGTCCCCGTTACCTATTTAAATTAAAAGCGTGCTGGCCAGCCAGTAGTGTAATAGTTAATGCAGCTGGATCCCACATGGCTGACTGTGTGGTTCACATCCTAGACCTAGTGACTTGTAAAACACACCGGACATATGTGCATGCATGCCCAAAATCCTGAGATAAGAACGGGGGTTTAGAAAGGATTGCACCGTGACCATCTCCCTAGGGAGATGATTGTTCATGTTCCCTCCTTTGTCCTTCTCTGACAAGCACACTTGCCCTAGACCAAAAACTAATGAATTAATTAAAGGCACATAATGTGGAGAGCTGGAGGTAGAAATGAGCTTCATTAGCAATGGCTATGAAAGCGTTTGCATACAAAAAAACCACTGTCTGCCTGTTGTCAGTTATCTTCCTGCTGTGTAGATACCTGATACTGCAGGGCAGTATGAGGCTAAAGGAAGCCACATCTGTTTACCAGATTTCACCCCAAAAAAGATCAGAGAAATTACATGGCACCAGTTTTCTCATCTTCAGAAGACTTAAATCCTAAAGCAACTGGTTTTGCATTCCATTTCCTCTTCCTCCATATTCTGCCCTTTAAAAGAATAAACCTGAGGCCAGTTCCTGGTCACAACTTTTCTCCATCAGAAAAGTTGGGCCCACAAGATCCTGTTTTTTTCCATACTTGTATGTCTTTATGTGTTTGTTGTTGTGTTTATTTCTAATCCACAGCCTTTCCCACTCAGAAAAACGTATTCAGCCAAGCAGGTCCTGGCAACATAAGGCCCACAGATACGGCACCAGTCCACCTCTCCTAATATAACTCCCAACACCACCTTTACCTAAAGTCCATATTCCTGCTTAAAAGAAACATTCACTCTCTCATGAATATATCTACATTTCTGCTTATAATTATACCTTGACCTAGCATGGGGCAAACATGTCCTTGAAGTTCTGGGCCATGGTCTGAAATCAACACTCCTTAGAAATTACTTCTCAGAGGTTCACTTTGAAGCCTTTTCTGATTATTTTCTTCAGAACCTGACCTCTCCCCCTCCTTTTCATTAACAATGCTCATGACTTTATTTATGTCTCGCTTATGGAAATAAGTGTTACATTTATTTTTATCTCTGTAGGCTGTATCTGTAAATAAACGTAGATAGTAAATGGGTTTTTTTGGGGAGAGGTTTTTGCTATATGACGTGTGCACTCACCAGAGAGACAGAAAGCGAGAAATCACCACTCCCACCAGGGTGGGGGGATGGCCATGCTGCAATCCCTTCTCCTCTCAGGATCTTGGGCATGCACGCACATGCGCCCGGCGAGAATCTAAGCCACCAAGTCTCGGACTCCGACCACAGTCGACTACATGAGAGTTCAGTGACATAGACATTATGCCAACTGCTGGTCCTGACAGTAAATCTTAACTTAGATATCCTGGATATGAAAACAACTACACGAAGACATAGTAGGTAGTTCAATTTATTTCCCCTGGCTCTCCAGATTTAAACTAGCTTCTGGTTCTTCCTGCTTCTATTACTACGTCAGCCGAAACTTTTTTTTCTGATAGTATAATTTCTAACCACTTGGCAGCCTGAAAAAGCAGCTTTCCTATTTCCTAATGCTTCCTGTACACTAACAGTATTTCAGTATAGGAACTGTATAGTGGACACTCACATGTACAGTAAAGTGAATATAATTTGTCTTGTTAAACTGATATGTAACCCAAAACTCATAATACGTAACAGACGCAGTTACTAATTTTCAAAGGAATTGGTGTTATCACCTAGGTGGATTCTGACCTCAGATTAGAGTGTTATAGCCAACCTGATATACATTGCAAATGAACTAAACACATACGGGAGCTAGCATGCTAAGCATACAATCAAAAGGGCTTAGTTCTGGGACCAGCAGATGGTGTAGTGGTTACTAGACTCCCACATGGTTGACTGTGGTTCGAGTCCCAGACCCAGAGGCTTGAAAATCACACAAGGCACTTGAGTGTGCATGCCCAAGATCCCAGGAAGAAATGGAAGAGAAGGAATTGCAGTGTGGCTATCCCCTATGGAGAATGATTTCTCACTTTCCCTTTCACTGCCTCTGTTTCTTTCTTTCTCCAGCAAGCACAAGCGCCCTAAAGCAAAAGCCTCTTTTTACATTTTTTTGGGGGGGAGAGGTTTTTCCTATAGGGCACGTGCGCTCGCCAAACAGACAGAGAGACAGAAAGCGAGAAATGGCCACACCGCAATCCCTTCTCCTCCATTCTCCTCTCAGGATCTTGGGCATGCACGCACATGCGCCCGGCGTGAGTTTTAAGCCACAGGATCTGGGACTCGAACCACAGTCAACTACATGGAGGTCCAGCGACATAGCCATTATGCTAACTGCTGGTCCCTTTTTAAATTTTTTTAAAAAGAATTATTTATTTACTTCTATTTGTTATTATTATTATTTAATTTGGCCAGAAAAAGACAGAAAGGGAAAGTGAAAAGGCATGCTGCCAGGTTTGGGACTCGAAACATGGTCAGCTATGTGGGAATCCACAGCCTTTAACCACCACACCACCTGCTGGCCTTGCAAAAACCTCTTTTAATAAAAATGATTAATTCAGGACCAGCAGGTGATGTAGCAGTAACATTCCTAGATTCCCATGTAGTCGACTGTGGTTCAGGTCCCAGACCCGCTGGCTTAAAACTCACACTGGGCATGTGTGCTGGTGTGCCCAAAATCCGAGAGAAGAATAGAGGAGAAGGGATTGCAGTGTGGCCATCTCCACTGAGGGTGATTTCTTGCTTTCTGTCTCCCTGTCTCTCTAGCGAGCGCATGCGCTTTAGAGCAAAGATCTCCCTAGAAAAAAGAAAAAAGAATTATTTTAAAAAAATGCTTAACTCAACAATCATAGTCCTTAATACTGTTGTTTTTATAACCATAATAACTACATAGCTATTATTATAAATAAAAGCTATTTAGTTTTTACTTGGTACAAGTCTCTGACTTCACTTCTTTTTTAAGAAATCAGAAAATTAGAGCAGAGCAATGTCAACTAAATTGTCACGCTCAAATAGCTCAAAACTTACTGCACAGAGATTCATCCGATGGGCCTGGCTCCAGGGAGCACACTCTTACCCTCTAAGCCGTATTATCTATTTCTTCCAGCGTTTAATTTTAAAAATAGTACACTACCATAGTAGTTGCATAAACAGTATCACTAGTGCCCTAATAAGTAATTATAAGAGTAACATGGGAATGAAAAATAAGGCAGGAGTCGAAAAATATTTTCCCTTCTAACCCAATACAGGAAAAAAACAGTGATATAATAGGCAAAGTATAAAAACGTAAAGTTAAGTGGGGGGAAAAAAGGTAATCACCTATTATGAGAAAGATAAAGGTACCGTTTGATAACTCAGTTATTTCTTGGAGAACGTGAAGAGATCCTGAGGTTTGAGATCTGGGTAAGGACCCTCAGATAGGGCTCCATGGATCTCAACTGATCATCTGAATCTCAATGGCTGCCCTTTTCAACCTCTTAACTATTTTCTTTTTTTGAGCAACTAGGGGGTGAAAGTAAGATGACAAGGTTTTTTGTTTGTTTAGAATTATTTAATTTCTAAAAATGTTTATTATTATTTTCTAATTTACTATAGGGCATGTGCCTCACGAAAGAGAGACAGAGAGAGAGGAAGTAAGAAAACAAGCCCCCAGGTCTGGGACTTGAACCATAGTCAGCCATGTGGGCACGGTCTAGTGCCTCAACCACCATGCAACTCGCTGGCCTCACAAGTAGGTTTTAAAAGCTTCACCACCGCACCTCCTCCCAGACAGGGGAGGAATGGAAACTCTGCAGTGATAGGGCTCCACATGGCCTGGGTTCACAAGCAGAGCAAAGCTCCTACTGATTAATTCACTCTGCATGATAAGGTTCTGCTTGGAAGTAGAGAGTTAATCCCCTGAGGCCAGTGAGACTCTGAAGGACGCTTACCTCTGCCAGGAAGTTGAAAAGAAAGAAACTCAGGGCCAGCAGGTGGTGTGGTGCTTAAGGTTGTTGGACTCCCACATGGTCGACCATGGTTCAAGTCCTGGACCTGGCAGCTTGCTCTCCCTCCCTCTCTCTCTCTCTCTCTCTCTCTCTCTCTCCCCATCCTTCCCGCCCTCCCCCCCTCCCTCTCACTCTGTCCCTCTCTGGTCAAATTAAAAAATAAAGTTAAATGAAATAATTCTTACTTAAAAAAAAGAAAAGAAAGAAACTCTTCTTTGACACTGAATACCAGACTCCCAAAGGTAACGTTAGGGACATGGATCTCAGCACTTCCAGAAGAGCATTGAAATGGGACCAGAGCTAACACACATCTTAGGGAGGGCCACGAGCACACAGCTTCAGAGAGTAATGACCTCCCAACCCTACCCCATCCACCCCACGCTGGCAAGAGATGAATGGTCCTGCTGACTGAACAGCAGGTGAAGCTCTGTTTACAATCAAGATTCCATAGCCAAAGGGAGCAGAGGATACAAAAGAGAGCACCTCCAGGGACTAGCAGATGGCATAATGGTTATGTTGCTGGACACATGGACGATCTCAGTTCAAGTCCCAGACCCGGTGGCTTCAAACTCATGTCAGGTGCTGTGCATCTGTATCCAAAATCCTGAGAGGAGAATAGAAGAGAAGGGATTGCAGCATGGCCAACCCCTGGGGGGGTTGATTTCTTGCTTTCTGTCTGTCTGTCCCTCTCTGGTGAGCACATGTGGTCTATAACAAAAATTTCCCTAAAAAAAAAAAGGAAAAGAGAGAGCACCTCCAACCCCACAGAGACTTAGGAATGTGGTACCACCCTCTATTTGGCAGGCATGGCAGGCCCACACTCTCCCTCCTATCAGACTCAAGTCTAGGAGAAGGGCTGCCTGTCCTA